AATGGAATTGGCACGTGAGGGTGCTTGAGGGTACTTTACGAGCTGTCCGAGAAGGACTAGCGGGACCCGAGCGCGAGTGTGAGGTGGTACTAATGGGCGCGAAGGTGCAGTTCGCGAACCTTCGCGTGCACGAGTAGACGAGTATCGATATTGGAGACGATGTGAAATGCAAGGGTCGGTCGACGAGCGGATGTGGTACGAGGCTGAGAGTGTGCCAGTAGAGCAGCCGGCGTGCAGTCAGCTATGCCTGCCGACCCGTTCCACAACACGATCAGTGTTTGCAACCAACTCAAGGAGCAGGAATACTCACGAGTATGGCATTGAAGCATCATGGCTCAATCCATCTTGGCTGTGCTCCCCATCTCTCTGCGCCTTGAGGTGATGCCAGCGACGGTTCATCCCTTCTCCCAGAGCAGCCGAGCATATGCACGAACTGCCGTCTTTAACATCGCCACCGAGCTGCTAGCAGCATGGGTGACAACGCTGTAGACAGGGAATAAGAGCGGGAGGTGAGAGCAGTATGAAGCGAGGGCATGGGTGCAGCACGGAGCGTGTCGCATCGGAGCGTCATATCGGAGTGGGTTGACGGCGAGCAGAGGATGAGGAGAGCAGACGGTTCGAAACACCGTCAGTACAACCGACGATGCTTAGTCAAAAATGGGCCGCATGAGAGGTGAGAGGGCAGGAGGCCAGGCCGGCGAGGGCGTGGGCGGGAGCAATGAGGATAAGCGCCCAAACACGGAGCCCGTCGGAGGGGCAAGCGGCATTCCTAATTAGGAAACAAACTGAGCAAGTCCTCCTGCGCCGCATCCTTTCGGGGCTGTTGGAGAATTGCTCTCACTAGCGTGAAGCTGGTTGTCTAGAGATGGCTTGTGAGTTTCGTACTTCCATTTATGTACATATTTGACAGGAAATATAGTGCAGAGCAAAGAGTGCTCCGCTAGAACAAGTCGCCAGTCACCTAATGTCCCGACACAGTGCCTTGTTTGTGCGATCGGGATCACGCAGGATGCGTGTCGGTTCAAAAGTGGGCACCCTTCCAGCCAATATCATCGTATTAATCGCTTAGTATTGGCTTCTGAAATAAGATTTCCGAATAATATCAGAAGACGGCGTGACTTTTTCTCCTGGGGCATCACTACCAGCCGCGGCGATGCGAGACTGCTTTTCGCACCTCAGCCCCACCGATTTGCAGAGGACGGTGCATGAATTGAGGGTAAATTTCTGTATTGTTCACTATTCTTATTGCTAAATCCACGCGAGCTAGGTAATAATTGCACCCCATCTCCTGCCTATCTTAGAACACGAGCTTTCGCACCGTACAAAATCTGGTTTGATAGAGCGAGAGCCTGAACAGACACACAGGATTACATGTGGTAAGTAAGATCATAAATGGTTAGTGAGCTGGCTGACGAGGGAAAAGACTGTTGCCAGACGGCTCTTTTCTCGTTATCGTATATGTGCATCGCATGTGGTTATGAGATATGTACAGAATGCCAGCTTGAATTGGTCACTGATGGAGGGCATCGTGACATGATCAGTGAGTTTATTTCTGTTTAAAACCCTCCTTTCTGATAATTCATTCAGCGTGTCCGGCCCATAGTTGTGGAAAGCACATGTATCGTCCAGTCAGTAGACTGTCTTGCTCGGCCTTGACCTCGGTCCGCGAGCAAGTCGATGAAATTATTGACTGCGGGGGCTTGCCTATTGAGCCTAAGACGACCGATACTCAGAAGAACCGTATTAGTCACCTGGAGCGCTGCGCTGTGAGTCCATTTCGCGTGGTACCCAGCATCAACAAAGCAGAGAAGAATATCTTTGAGGTGTTGTGGCGCACAGGGTTGCCTATCCGCGTTGTTGGTGTTGAAATGTCAGGGAAATGGACGCCATCCGACATAGCATCCAAGTACGGAAATTGTATTTTGAAGACTACCGAACAGAGAGAAAGTGGCGGCGAAATATTCTTGAAGAGGGATCTTCGTACGTTCTTGGGACTGCTCTTGTCGCCCGGATACAACGGCAAGGGAAGAGTGAGTACTTATTTGGTTTCACCGTGAGCTTCCACTTACTGCAGAGATTAGGACATTCCTGCTGATAAAGAATTCAAGGAAGTCTTTGGCGAACTGGCAGGACACTTCGAGCTTTCTTTGCCGTTCCCTGAGTACACCTCGGTGGACGCTATCCAAAATGGTGCATCACACTGGCTGAGACTGCGCAAAGGTGCCGACCCTCCTCCGGGGTTGAGAAGTCCAGATCTCGGTACGCTAATTTTGAACGTGCTGATTGCCTGGCTGATCTCGTAT